GACTTCTGATCTCAGAGCCGTAAGGAGAACTGCACTTGGCACTCTGAGGTTGCATGAGGGACTCTTCCGGTTCAACAACAGGAATCACAACTTATTTAAAGGTGGACACAGGGCTTCAGTAGACACCTTCCCAAAGATGCACAGACGCCCGGCGAGCACCTGGGGAGGCGTTCGCTGTCACGGGACGCCTGGGAAATGCAAGGCCAGACCCTGAGAGCTGGCACGCCGCCCCCACCCCCCGTCCGGGGCGACTGCGTTTAAAGACCAGGGACTGGACAGCTGGGGACTGGCGGGTGTTGCTACGGACGGGGACAAATTGAAATCCTCCTGCATCGCCGTTGGCAACGCCAGACGGCTTCGTCGTGATGGGAAACACTTTGTCCACACACACACACAATCAAATTAGCGTCTGAACCAGAAATTCCACTCCTGCGTCTGAACCCGTAAGAATGAAAGGGACGAACGGCCCAGAGGTTCACGGCCGGACACACGGACAAACGCGCTCTGCCGCACGCGTGCGAGGGACTGTCTGCAGCCGTGACGCGGACGAGGAAGGGATGTTTGCTGCTGAGTGACAACGCCGGGCACGGAAGTCGGCCCCTTGTGCGGCGCCACCTACACGGCGTTTCCCGCACCGGGAAGTCCGTGCACACAAGGAGGTTCCCGTGACGAAGGGGACAGGCCGGGGGGATGTGGGGGGGCAGCATCCCAGCAGCAGGGGTTTGCTCTGGGCGGGACAGAATGTTCCGGAACCAGACGGCGGTGGCGGCTGCACAGCACTGTGAGTGTGTTCGGGGCCTCTTGGTCTGCACTTAAAACGGCTTCTTCTCCACTGTGCGGACTTGACCTCGATTGGGAAGCAGGTTAAGGGCCTGCGGGGGCAGCGTGAGCCAGCACGTTAGGCAGCTTACCTGACGGACAAGCGCCCGGACGGACAAGCCTGCTGACGCCGACTCAAGACGCAGGAGCTCTGAGCGGGTGTGTGAGGAGGAGCGAGGGTATACCGACGGGAAGGAGGAACGACCCACAAAGCCACCCTGGGCCGGCAGCTCCCGGGTGAGCTCCCCCAAACCCTGGAGAAGAGTGGACGCCAGCCCCTCACACACCCATTCTCCCGAGGTCGGAGGGGGAGGGGGCCGCCCGCCCTCGCTGACCCAGCGCTGCTCCGGTCTCAGCCCCGTGGCCCTGGCGTCGCAGGAAGACAGGCTGCGGACCGGGGTCCCTTGGGAAGGCGGCCCCAGAGCCCCTCCACCTGCACGAGGGGGCTGGGTCCCTCGGCCAGGTCAGCTGGGGCCCCTCCAGGAACTCGAGGCCGGCCTGACCTCGGACGGCCGACCCAGGCAGCGCACCCCCCAGTGGAACAAAAGGGCGGAAACGGCAGGAGCAGCTCCGCGGGGGCAGAGAAAGGACACGACCAAGTTCAATGCCGTCTCAGTGAGAACACCCAACACAGTAGGCGGGGGGGAGGGAGGGGCACAGACCCTCGACCTGCTAACAGGACTCGGGGACGGCTCCGTGGGGGGGGGGGGGTTGCCCTGGCCGCCGCTCGCCCTTCATGGACTCCACCCTGACGGGAGTTCCAGCTGGGCCCTCGGGCAGGAAGACAGAGCCAGACGGCGCCTGTTTCCAGGCGACCCGCAGCCGTCTGGGAAGCCCTAAGGAGCCCACTAAGGCGCTTGGGAAGAATGACTGAGCTCTGCGAGGCCGAGGGACATAAAACCAATAGACAGAAACGGGTTGCGTTTAACTACCGGCCAGTGAGCAACCCAGCAATGAAACAGGTCACCGGGGACACACAGACATGCGCACTCTGAAAACCGTCCAATTCCGTGGCAGGAACCGCGAGAACACGGGGTGCAAGGGGCTCGCCCCGTGTCTGCGGGCGCGATGGCGGCATCCCCGGGGAGACCGCGGGGGCGACAAACCAGCAGCCCCGGCCGAGTCCCGGCCATCTCTCTCCTCGGAAACCGACGCGCTGCCCCCGCCCCCGAGACACGCGCAGGACCCGAGGCAGGCGGGACGGTCGCCACGGCCTCGCACAGGAAGAGTTCGTGCCGTGGCAACTTTTCAGACAGGAAGCGCGTTTGATTTCAACCTGCACAAAAACCATGTCAATGCAGGGAAAGGGATGGATTCTGGAGGCACTCCCAGAGGCCAGGTCCCCACCCCACCCCACCTCCCAGTCTGGCGCCGCCGAAACCGGGGATGGGGGGGACCCTCGCTCCCCAGCGTACACAGACAGCCCAGCTGTCCCGCCTGCCGCTCCCACGGCCGCTCCAGCCGGCCCTCCCGTGGCTGCGGCAGGACAACCCGCGTCCAGTAGGGGCTCTATCTCCACTTCACAGATTTCCTCGTGGTGGGCTGACCTCGGGGCCGGGGTCTGCCGGGAGAGATGGGCTGCTAGGCCTCGCTTTGACTGACGTTTCAGCATAATTTGGTAAAACGGGATTTAATTTGTTTGCAGATAAGCTCACCTAAAGGGACCATCGCAAGAACAGAAATCCCCTAGCTTACACAAACAACAGAAATTAATTAACGCGGAAGCACTAATTAGTTCATCCAGTTGGCTGGCGGAGCTCGGGGTCCGGGGGGACTGAGCCGGGGCCGGGCATGTGGGCGAGTTGGCGGGCGTGGGGTTCCGAGGGAGGGGCTGTTCCCACGGACTCCCGACAGTGGAGGTGATGGGGCAGGGAGGGGGCGGTTAGGGGCCGCAGAGCCACCTGGGCCCCCTGGGACCTAGAGAGGAGCCGGAGCAGAAGAGAAGACACCGAGACCCGGGTCCCTGGGCGGTAGAGCGCGTCTGTAAGACAGGCGGTAGCTGTGCTCCGACCTCGGCTGCTCCTTGTAAGACGCTCCCTCCCTCCGGCAGGCGGGCTCCGTCCAGGGCTCGGCCGTCTCCGTTCAGCCACCTCTGGTTTCGGGACGGTGGCTTCTCGCTGGGAGTCTGGCCGGCAGCTGCCCTGGGGCCAGGGAGAGCCTGCAGTCTCTGGTAGAAAAGGTCTGGTGGCCTCGGAGCGCCGTCTGCTCTGGGGTTTCGGCCTCCACCGTCCACGCAGGCGGCTGCAGCCCGACAGACCCTGCTGTTCCCTGGGCGGGTCCCGGGTTCCGCCCCTCCCCCACCCCCGGGGCAGGCGTGCAGGGCCAGATCCCACACTTGTGTCTTCTGGGCTGGGGCCCCTCCCACAGGCACATCCGTGTGCCCCCTGCAGCCAGACGCAGCGGACGGGCGGGGGGTGGGGGCTTTACCTTCAGTGGAGGTGACAGGCGGGACCCTTCCAACCCCCCCAGAGTGGGGCCCACCCCACCGCCACAGACCTGCGGGCGGGCTGCAAATTTCCGGTCCCTCAGCCCTGGCCTCTCCCCACCCACCACGAGACCCCCTGCCGGAGGGATGGCCGACACCGGCTGCTCCGCAGACACCAGCGTGGGCCCCGAATAAGATCCCCCCAATCTCAGCTGCTGCCACAGAGGTCGGTTTCCCCGAGGTGCCCCCAGGGTAACTCCCCACCCCACCTGGCATGCCCCCTCGCCGGCCTGTGGTCCACCCTGCCTCGGACGGACGAGTGTCTTCGCCCCGGTGCTTCTGTGAGAACCTGCCGTCCACCGAGACTGCGCCCAGGGGCCCTGTCTCCCGCGAGCCCTCAGCTGCCACGGGCGGAAGTGTGTGCTCGCAGCTTCAGAGGCGGTGCAGAGGGCCGGCGGCTCCGACCTGGCTTCTCCTTCTCCACGGCCCGAGTCCCCCTGCCCTCCCCACATGCCGACGTCCTTGTCCCCTCTGCGGAGCCCGGGGGGGGTGGGCCACGTGCCCCCGAGGTTACTCAGGGAGGGAGGAGTGGCCGACCGAGTCTCCCCCCGGCGAGTCTGAGTCCTGCCCAGGGAGGGCGCGGGCCATAGCGCCCTGCGCGTGTGACTCTGGTGTGAGTGTGGCGCCGTTTCTCGCGTGAGCGTGGTGCCATGACCCCAAATCGGCCCCGTCCACTCGGCAGGGCCTGGTGCCAGGCTGGCCGCTGATCGAGGACTCGGGCGACGCAGCTGGTTTTTGTGTCTTTCCTGAAACGTGAAGTTACACTTTTGCTTGCTATCGTTTGTGCTTGAAAGGAGACATAGCAAACTTGTCTTCAAAGGAAGGTTTGCACGTTGAACTTGATATAATAGACCACTTTGGTTTCAGCAAAGAAGTTTGTGTGTTGAGCCATACACGGGTATGATAATGTATTTATGAGGGGGGACCCCAAAATCCCAGAACTTATTTATAAAAGCTCTGTATTTACTTTTACATGTTTAAACTTCAGGCGCCTTCAAAGTACTCTCATCTGATGCGGTACACCCATCAAGACACTTTTTCCACTGATCAGAACAGTTTTTGACCTTGCAGATTTTTATGCCTTTTAGTGGTTCTGCCGCTTTTTGTTTTACCTCTGACACATCAGCAGAACGTTTCCCTCTGAGGACTGTTGTCATCAGAGGAAACAAAACAGCCCTCTCCGGATGAGATCAGGTGACTAGGAAGGTGGGGTTGGGGGTCCGGCCATTTTTGCCCAGAAACTGCTGACCACTCAGCGCGGTGTGGGCAGGTGTGCTCGTAAATCACCCGACGTGAAACAGGCGAACGCGCTGAGTCTTAAAAAACATTCACTGGGCAGAGTGCAGCCTCTCACAACAACACCAGCTGGCGCACTGATCCAGGTGGGTCCCTAGAACACCCACCCAGCGGGGCAGCCTGTCCTACAGGGGCCCGCCCTCCGGGAGATGACCCCATTTTTGGGGGGTCTCCTCCCCGTGCTGTGTGCACATGATCTGACAGACAGAGATCGTTATTCTAAGAAAGCGTAACGTCAAAAACGTTTGCCCGGGGGGTGTTTGTAACTCAGCTCGGGTGCGAGGTGGGAACCGGCTTCCTGGCCGAGTCTCGAGCCCCCTCTGAGCTGCGTGCGCGGGGGCTGTGGACGCACGAGCCGGACAGGCGCCCGAGTAACGCCTCTCTCTGCCTCTCTCCACAGAGTCGCAGTGCACACTGTGCGGGGAGCCGGAAGGTGAGTGTGGGCCTGACCCTCGGGGGGGGCGCGGGGCCCGGGGCGGCGCACACGCGTGGGGCGTGATGGAGGGTGGGCAGTGTGCTGGGGCAGAGCGTGGCTGCTCTCGTGTGGTGCCAGGAGGGCTGGCTGGTTTCGCACGCACACACACGCACACACACACACACACACACGTGTCCTGGCCGTGAGGACGTCAGCGGGGGTCCGGCGAGCCTTGCTCGGGCGAGGTGACCTTGCAGACCGGCCCTGTCATCCGCGCAGAGGCCGCGCGGGTCAGCCTGGAGCTCGGGCGTGGCCGCTGCCGCCGCTGACCGTGGGTCAGGATTAGAACCCAGCGGAACCTCTGCTGGTCAGCAGCGCCGTGCGAGCGGGGCGCCCGGGCGTTAACGCGTTACGTGCTGACACGTCCCGGATGGCGGAGCCGGTCGGGGTCCTGCCTGCAGTGACTGGTGGCAGGGAACAAAGGAGGAGGCAAGCTGGCCGGGAGACTGGTCAGCCTCGGGAGCCAGGGGCCGCCCCGGCCGCCCGCCCTGTGGACCACGGTGAGAGGTGCGGCCGGAGCCCGCTGGACATGCGGTTAATTTATTTGGGAGTTCCTCCCGACAGGCTGTCCGCCCGCGGCGCGGCTCACGGCGGCCGGTGGGAGCTCTCACCTTCCTTCAAGGTCGTTTGCAGAAGGCAGGCGCGGCCACGGTCAAGTCGTCACCTTGCCTGTCAAGGCTTCGGCTTCGCTGTGGGTCAAAGTGCGAAAAGCAGAGGGCCCCCGGCGTTTCCAGGGTCAAAGGGGGCGTGGCGACGGGTCGAGTTCTCCGACTGCGCGGCGTCCACCGCACCCCTGGGACCCTGTTCCTGTTCATCGTCACACCTTTCCACTGTCCCGGCCACAGCCACACGAGGAACCGGCGCGTCCTGCCCTGCCTGCCCCTGGGTTCTCCTTGTCATCCCCCTGCACACTTCACACTCACAGGCCGTCACACACCCTCACACCCACAGTCACACACTGACACCCTCACCCACAGTCACACACACTCTCACCCTCGCACTCGCAGCCTCTGCTAAGTCCCCAGCGCCGTGTCACTAGTGACAAGGTGGCCGGTCCGTGTAGTGGTTTCCGTCTGCTTGTTTCTGTTTGCAGACGTGTTCTGGGCGTGGTGCGTGTGCGGTCTGGGTCTCGGGGACTTGTTGTCACAGCAGGTGGGGTCCGAGAACGAGCGTGGCTCAGGCTGTGAGGGGACGGCGAGGTGGAGTCAGGGCTGGTGCGTTGCTGGGGTCGGCGCTCCCTGAGGGTGCGGGCTGGTTTCTGAGGTCGTCACGGTAGCGGGGCCGACCCAGTGGCCGTGGGCTGACCTGGATGGTCACGTGGCCTTTGCCACTGGGGGGTCCTCCCACCCGAGGGTCTCGGCCCAGGGCCCCACCGGTGGGGACAACAGGCCGGGCTGCCTGCCCTGGACGGTCTCAGGGCTGCTGCTCCCCGGGCAGCTGGCTCTGGTGTGACCCCCGAGTGCTGTCCACCTGCCCCAAAGGTGTGCGGGGGCCAGGGGAGCAAGGAGGAAGCTCGGCCGTGACCGTCCGGGGCAGAGTAAACATTTAGAGTGGGGAGGAATGGACTCCACCTCGTCGCTGGGCAGAGGGTCCCCGGGGCTGGGTCCTCGCCGGCCGGGGCGGGTGACCCCGGCGGGACCTCGCCGCCCTGGTCTCTGCCGTGACCCTCCTCCTCTGCAGCCGGCTCCACGGTTCAGCTACGCGGGTGGCATTGCTCCAGACCAGAGGAAGGGAGGCGGGTGGCAGGGCCTCAGCTGTGCGGCACTTGGTGAAAAGCGCGAGGCATGAATATTCATCCACTTCCAAATCATTTAAGTAATTAGTCTAAGTGAGCGCTGGCTGGGCGCGGTGAGCGGAATCTGAAACCAGCCGCTGGGCTCGCGGGCTCCCGGCAGCCCCTGCCCGTTCACTCATCCGCGCCGTTCCGGGAGGGGGTCAGCGCCGGGGCCGGGGCGCGGGGTGTCCGCACACCCCGGGGGTTGCGGTGTCTCTGTGGGCACACAGAGCTGCTGGCTCTTGTGAGGAGCCGTTCGCAGCCTCTCGCTGCTGAACCCGGGAGCCCGGGAGGAGGAAACAAACACCTATCTGCATTTTAACGACTGGCTCTGGGCGAGAGCCGAGAGCTGGTGCTGGTGCAGATGGGTAATTAGCGTCTGTGACGGCTGCCAAGCAGCGAGCTGAGGAACGCGGTTCGTGGGGTGCCAGGGACCTCGGATCCAGCCGCCGTGGGTCCCTGTGAACGGTGCGGCCCGCTGGCCGGCGAACTCGAATTGTTAGCTGTGTGCACAGTGCAGAGCGCGGTTTGCAAACGCAGAGTGTCTGCACTTTGCACGTGGCACGGTTCCCGCAGTTTGGACGGCTGCTTCGCCAGGCGCATTGTTTAATGCGACATTGTTACATTTGTCACGTCTTTCTCCCTATTCAGAGTACACAGACAGCTCGGCTCTGGGTTTTGAAAGAGGCAGAGGGAGGCGGGGGAGACGGAGCTGATCAGACTCACTCCCCGAAGGCGAAGGCACAGAGAGAGCCTGGCTGGCGGAGTCTCGCTGGACCAGCTCCAGGAAAGAAAAACGTGTGAAACTCACTAAGAACAATCCCATTTGTTCAAACAACTTGCTACTGTAACGTAATAGCAGGCCTGTGTGGAGTTGTGCCATTTTCCCCGCTGCTTCCTGTTACTCCTAGGTTCCTGGCAGTAACTGGATACTTTGTGGCAGCAAGACAGCTTGTCCTTTTATCTCGCCAGGGCAATCACCGCTGAAGGTCTCGCTGATGGAACCCAGTGGTTTCATGTGGGAAAACAACGTACGAGGCTGTGATCCGCATGGAGCCGTGCGGACAGGCCCGCAGTGCCCCTGCTGTGCCCCTGCTGTGTGCCGCGGCCTTGGGGCAGACTGGAGTCGGGCGGGGCCACCGGCCTGGGTTCCCGGGTTCATGTGCCTGCTGACCTGTCTGCGGTCTGATCGACCCTCCTGGCCGGTTCTCTGGTGTGGGGCGGGGGGGGGGGGGCGTGGTGGATGATGACCTCTGGCAGGGTGAGGAGAACTTATTTTCAATCCACGACAATGTAAGGAGAATGTCTCAGATCTGCCTTATTTAAGCAAATTAAAAGTAAGAAATAAAAGCACCCATTAAGATGCACATTTGGCACAAAGGGATATATTAGGGTGGATTTTAGCAGGAAAGATTTCCCCGTGAAAGAGGCCTGAGGACTTGAGCTTCCGACACGGCAGGCCATTTGTGGAGACACGGGTCTGGGCCGGGCTCCTTGGAAAATGTTCCTCGTGGAAATCCCAGTGCAAGAGTCCAAGGCAGAATTAAAAATAACACTTTACGGGAAGAGATTTCCTTTCTAAATGTGCTTCAGTTTCTTAACTGGGGTCGTTCGGAAACACCAGCCGTGCGCCCGCTCTGGGCGTCCTGGACGGAGGCTGGCGTTTTACTGCGAATGGCAACAAGGGCTCTCCGGGGAGGAAGCGGAGATGTTTCTCCTGCGTTTCGTAACATTGTGTTCTTGATTTTTAAATACAAACGCGGAAGGCTCTCCCCACGGATGTCTCCAAACAATGGGAAATTTCCACACTCCCTGTGCGGTGTCGTGAGTGTGAGCCATCCTGAGCTCGGGAGGCCTCTGTCCTCGGCTGGGAGACTCGGCAAGGTTGCTTTTGGGGAACCGAGCGGCTGTGGCTCAGAAACAAGCCTCCCCCCCCGCCGCCCCCGCCTTCCGGCTCTGCCCCTGGAGACTTGGGGAGGGGGTCACCTTTTCCAATACAGCAGATTTCCCCTCGTTTTGAGATGGCACCTTTCTAATTGTACGCTTTGGATGAAAATCGTCTTTTCTGGCCGCTGTCTGGGTGGTTAGTGGGCTGTCACAGGCATTTATGAAGGAAGATGAGTTCTCCCCGGGAACTGAGGAACTCGGCTGACTTTGAGAGGAAGCAGAAATCCACTCCAGCCAGCCGTCCTGTGGACCTCACAGTGGCCAGCGTCATCATTGTGGGCGTGAGAAACCGCCTTCTGGGGTGGGAGTGGGAGCGCACTGGGGTGGGGCTCGGGTCCAGAGGGGGGCTGGGCCCGGGGGCAGATGCGGCCCCACGCCCACGGCAAGCCCCTCAGACTGCTGCGTGCCCGTGTCGGAGGGTGCTGGCCCTCGGGTCTCACGCGGCTTCCGCGGGAGGAGGAAGAGAGGGACGCTGTCTTCACCGCCGTGCTCCCGTGCCGTGCGCCCTCTGCACCTCCCGGCCGGGCCCTCTCCACGCAGGCGCATGGAGCTGAGCACCTGGCGCGTGGGCCGACCCCGCAAAGAGGTGCGTCTGTCCCCTGCACGCGGCCTCAGAGGTGGGGCCGCTCCCACTGGCAGGGCAGAGCAGGGTGCAGCCGGGAACGGGGCGCACATCGCCCCCCCCCCCCACTGAGACGCAGCCAGAGTTACGCGGGGTGGTGGGAAACGCACACGCGAACCCCAGTTTGCAGACCTCTGTTTCCCGAGACTGTCCGACAGCGGAGGTTCAGACGTTCGTCTGGCACCAGAGCCGTTGTGCCTCATTGACTTGCTCACGGAATAAATACATATTTTCCCGGTCACCAAGGAATTTCAGCGCCAGCGCCGAGTGTCAGGCGTGGTGAAATCCCGCCTGTTTCCTTGTAGCTCGGTGGGGGCTGCCGGCTGCCTGTGGGGGCCTGTGTGGGAGATGGGCGAGACGGAGGAGCTGTCGCCGAACGCCAGGCCGGGCCGGCCGGCCACGGGTCCCCCTGGTGACCCAGGGGGGCTCCTTCGGACGTGGGGGAAAGGGGCGAGCAGAGAAGTTGGGCGTGAGGAGGGTGCCTGGCGTTTGTCTTCGCAGTCCCCACTGTGGAAGCAAGAACTTTCCTTTTTCTCTAAGATTTTATTTGTCTATTTTTAGAGCCAGGAAGGGGGAGAGAAGGAGAGGGGTAGAAACGTCAATGTGTGATTGCCT